AGATTAATTTAGGATATCTGGTCGGCATGGACAAGTTGGACCGAAGGGTCTATTTCCGTGCTGTACATCTCTATGACTCTATGACACAGAGTCTACAGGGGGATATAATGAGGTTAGATGAGTGATCAAAAACTTTTCGGATGAGATATAATCTAGGAAGATATAAGGTTATGCACTTAGGCAGGAAGAAAGGAAGATTTAAATATTATTTAAAGTGTAAAAGATTACAGAAAGCTGTAGCACAGAGGGATTTGGGAGTCCCAATGTGTAAATTTCAAGAGCAAACATTCAAGTACAATGCATAATAGGCAAGACAAATGGACAGGTGGCCTTTATTTCAAAGGGAATGGACTATAACAGTGGGGAGGTTTTGCTAAAACTATATACAAGACTACTAGTCATATCACACCTGGAATACTGTGAATAGTTTTGGCCCCCTTATCTAAAGATATCCTGGCATTGGAGGCAGACTGGAGAAGGTTTACTAGGTTAATTCTGGGTATGGAGGGATTTTTTACAATTGGAGCTTGTGTAGCTTGGCCCTGTACTCATTACAGTTTAGGAGAATGAGAGGAGACCTTATTGAAACCTTATTAAGACAGGGTCAATGCACAGTGGTTGCTTTCACTTTTGGGAGAGCCTAGGACCAAAGGGCATTATGTCAGAATAAAGGGTCTCCCATTTAAGACAAAGATGAAGAGGATTTTTTTTTTCTCCTGGGGGTAATGTATCTTCAAATTATATTCAAAGCTGAGATGGATAAATTATTAATCAGTAAGAGAATTGAGGCTTACGGGAGGAAGGCAGAAAAGTAGAGTTGGGGATTATTAGATTAACCATGATCTCATTGAATGGAAGGACAGACTTGATGCGTTGAATGGCCTAGTTCTGCTCCTATGTCTTTGGTCTTGTGGCTTTTAAGTTAACAAAACAGCTACCGCATCAAATTTCTTCACTATTTTCTGTTAAAGTAGTTTATGCTTCTGCTTTGAATTAGTAGTCCACATCTTTGAACTAGAATTTTCTGCCTATTGACTGTAAAATTAATTTTAACCAACTTGACTAAAAAACCGTGTGTTCTTGCTTTATAGATGTCTGCCAATATCATAACATGTTGCTGAGTAGTGCTCCCAGGAACTAATTTTTACTGTACTTCCAGTCTTCTGCCCTGCCACATTTTCTTATCTTTAAGAACCTTCAATCATGGAATAACTTGTTCTCATTTTCCCAAGTCTGAATGAAAGAACACCTGCAGCTGAAAGCTTCAAATTTTTGCCCCTTCTAAATGGGTAATATCATTTTTATGGAAGATACAGGCAGATGTTTTTGCATGGCTGGAGATGAGGTGAGATAATGTCCTTTCAGAGGCTTGTAAAGCAGAGTAAATAGGTCCTTCAGCAAGAATGTTGCTGTGATTTTTAGTTAGCAAGAATCTACTAACAGCTGTCTGTATTTCCTCCTTTACACACCTAGTCTTTGAGGTAGATGCTAATATCCTTCAAAGTGGAAAATGCAAATTGAGTTTACTTCACAGCAGGTAGGCAGTGGGAAAATGCTTGTGAAATGTAGAAATGATTGAGCAAAACACTTCTCAACCTTGCATCAAAATTGTCAGACTGCTTTTTGCATGAGATTGTTACTTTGATCCAGAAGAAAACAATTAGGTAACAACAGCACAACTAGCATTTACAAAGCACACAAAGAGGTGTGATCAAGACATGGATGGCAAACCACAGAAAGAGAGATTGGGAAGTGTCCAAAAGGGGAAAATTTGACTGTAGTCAAGGCAACTGAGTAGATGGCCTTCACTTTAATGATAATGATGTTCACGAGCTCCTCACACTTGATAGGGAAGAAAGGTTTAAGGAGGTGGTGTCTAGTGTAAAAAAGAAGTTGGGAGTTCCAATTTATTTTTCAGGATGATTTTGAAGCAGTGGGCATCAATGGGAGCATGAGCCAGGCTTTTAATTTGCAATTATGCATGACTTGTGATGAGGGACATAATAAATTGATTAAGTCGGTGATGAAGAGAACAGTAGTAGAGAGGTTTCAAGAAACAATAAAGTTGATGGGATGGCAGTAAATGATTTGGAGGATTTACAAAGATATCTTGTCCAATTAACCATAGAAAATCAGTGAACTTAGAAAGTGAATGTGACAGATTTGGAAAGGTAAGTCACATTATGCATATGTATGGAAAGCCAAAGTATTCCTGTTAACCTAAGTATATTTGGAAATAGATATTATGTGCAAGGATTTACAGCTATCAATTTGAAATTGTCTTAGATAAATGTGGTAAAGTCATTAGTGTAATAGACTAGACTATTACAAGTTTAAAAATGGTTCTGAATTGTTGGTGCTGAAATTTCAGCACAATAGACGGTTCTTTAGTTGATATCTGAACATTGACAATAACCAATCTCCATTGCAACTATGATGGGATTGAAATGATTGCAATATATTAAAGGTACATTGTTAACCATAGAGTAACTTCTTTAATTTTGTACTTAAAATGTAGATTGTGGGTTTGCAACTGCATAGTTATTTTTTCAATTCTTTACCACTTTTTACTGGACAATTTTGTTGATTTTTTGCTCCTTCAGTGATATCCAGAATTCAGAACAATGGATGACTGAGACCTGTACCCTTGATCAAATCTTTCCTTCACAAAAATCACTGCACCTACAGTGTCAACTTAAAAATATAAAGTCCAATAACATTGCTAATATTATGTAAGCAATTGAAGCAGAATTATGTAATTCCTTAACTCCCTTAATATAATTCCTTAATTCTTTCCCTGTTTGTACTCAGACATTTTGTTATATTGCTACTTTTTTGAACAATAACAATTTATATTTACTCGTATTTATGGAACCTTTAATATAATGATGTGTTCACTTTTTGATTGGGAAGTGGAGCTTTGTTTTGTTGCTATTCTCCCATCAATCTCCAGAATCAGTGACTCATGCTGGGTATAATCTTAAACAAACTGAACATTCTAGCAGCCATTCCTCATGCCAGAGCTGACCATTAAGATCTTGATTTTCAATCCATGGTTGTGAACCTGAAGCGCAGAGAATTTTTTGGGTATTGACCCCATGCCACATCTGCATTGCTCATAGAATATGATTCTTAAATATAAAAATGCCCAAATTGTGCCAGTGTTGAGCTTGAATACCCAATTAGTGGCACTGGGCATTAACCAGGAAGCAAGAGTTGCCTGGAAGCATGATTACTAAAGGTACATGGCAGCCATGATGAGGTCTGCCATTGCCTTGTAGAAAGGAGGAGGCAGTGCATTAATGGGTTAATAGCATAAACTGGCATTTGAACAGTCAGATGGTCCAATGTGAAGTGACGCACATGAACCAGTGCAAGATCCTGCAGATACTGAGATATGCCATCCCATAACAATAATTTTAATATCTCTTCACATTAAGCCTGAGAGCTCTGCACTAACATACAGTGATTTGCATATTCAAAATTATCTTCTCATCCTGCCCCAATAACACACTCCTCAAAGAGCTTAAAAGGCCATTAATTGGAGGCAAGCAGATGTCTAACTCCCTTCCATACATTGAGAATCAGTGCACATCCCAGAGGCATCAGAGAACCTTCTGAGAATGTGATTTTAAAATTACATCAGTATCTATTTCCAACCCCATCAGCAATTGAAAGTCTCGTCCATATGAGTTTGAGCATGCTATTGTCTTGTCCGAGAGTGTCGTTGCATCAGCATCCCACATGTTTTCCAGCATGAGATTCTGGCTACTGATCAGGAACAGGAATCTTCCCTGATCTCCACCCTAATCTGGGGTCATAGATGCTAATGATTGCACCTCAATGACTTCTTTGATTCAAATGAATTAACTCTGCCCATATCCAGAAGTCGAATAAGAACTGAGGATATCGTCATTTTGGTAACTATAACAAAACACAGATGCTATTACATAATGCTGCTTCAAATGCTTGCAAATTAGTAATGTTTGATGCCCAGTGCATGACATTCTCAGCTGTACTCATGACCATCTGCGGGCAATAATTGTCCTGGGACATAATAAGTGAGCCTTAGTTTGGGCAGATTCCATGTCGAGCATTAGTTTCTGTTGCAGCTTTGTACTGTGTAGGACTTAATCTCCTTCTAAACCATGCACCAGGATACACAGGGGGCTAACACTCGAGTGTTTTTGTACTGATAGCTGCAATATTTCTGCACTATGGAGAAGTAATGACAGCACAGGGCTTTGGGACCCTGAAAGCTGAACATCCATGAAACAAGTTTAAAGGGATTGTATTGCTAACAGAAAAAAAAATAACCTAACTGTAAGGAAGAGGCATTTGCCTGTGAATCATATCCTTAGTGGGAACATTTTCACACTTCAGAAGGTAGCTATGAACTACGGGACTGTGACTGATGGGTTTCGGATTCGTAGGCATTGCCACAACAGTCTAGGTCAGAACCATTTAAAATTTGGTCACTGTGCCCTGGCACACCAGGATACCCAAGTGTATTCTTAAAACAAGTTCTTTGTTAATAGATCTGGCTGATTATTCATTGCTAAGGGCAAGGGCTATACCATAGCAATTTATCATTTCACATTAAATTGTTCAGGATGCTGCAAAGCTTATGTTTCCTCTGATGAGATTTTGCAACAATAGAGCTCCTTTGCAATGTATTAATGTTTTGGTAATACAGCTCAGTAAACCAGACCATCTCCTGAGCTTTTAAAACATAGGCACATTCAGCTCTTTGATGTTCGCTTAATTATGGGTTGTAAGTAGTTATCGGGTGCACTACCAACCTCCCAGTTTGTTTTTGATAACTGTTTTTATGCTTTTTTGCATATAGAAAGCCATATGATTTGTGAATCATTTTTATTTTGCAAGCTTAACTTGCTGTATTGAAGAGATTTAATAGCATCAAAATGGTAACTGCTGAGCTAATAAGGAGCATTTGAAATTAATCCAAGTTGGCTGATGATTTGTTATTTTTCTTTCAGGATCCAGGATTTTCAGCTTTTATGTTTGACAAGCTTCAAGTGCCTGACTCTTCAAAACGAGGTCGAAACGAAAGTGAGAGCCGATGTGAGATTTGTGCAACGCACCTGAATCAGCTGCGAAAGGAAGCCATTCAGATGGTGCACACACTCGGCCAGTCAAGTCAAGAAATACCTGAGCTATCACATAGTTCCATTGCAGTGAGCGGCATTTCATCAAGAATTGCTTCCCAAAGCATGGTCACCCTTTCATCACAAAGAGACTGGCCCCTGGTCACAGGACAAGCAAACAGACAGCCTGGAAAATCAGGAAATGCAATCTCAGGCCCAGAGAGAAGGAAGGGCCTTGGCTGGCCTCAGGCAGGCAGCCTTTCAAAGTCTAGTGTTCAAGTGACTGTTGGTTCCAGTGGCTTGAGCAATGCCCTGAACTCAGTCACCATTCAGGCTCAGCAGTACCTTGAGGGTATGTGGAGTATCTCTAGAGTGAACAACTTTCTTCCACATGCCTATTTGGTGAGTATTTTTAAAACATTTATTAGAAACAGTATAATACCTGAAAATCTAAAACTTGGCAGTTTGAATATTTACTATTTACTAACGTGAACATTACCACAATTGAGGGAAAAAAAAGCAGTTTTTTTGACAGTTTTGAAATTTTATGCGTAAACAAATTACAAGACTAGAAATGCAGAATACGTACCTGCCATGATTCCTCAAGTCACCTTGAGAGACATCCAATTGTGGAGGAGCCATAGTTTCCTCGAGTTAAACTTAGGGGTGACTGAATCTGTTGTTTTTGGCTCTCCGTACCATTAATTCTTTCATTCTCTTCAGCCATTGTCTTGATTTGAACCAAACACCAAACTAAGTTTCCATCCACATCCTTCTGTTTCCCTTCTGGTCCATTGCACACCTGTGACATTCTTCACCTCACAATTAATGGCAGTGCCTTCAGTCATTCCAGCCCTAAGCTCTCAAATTCTATCCCTAAACCCTTTGTTTCTGAACTTATTTCCTCCTTTTAATACTCTTCATGAAACTTACCTCTTTGACCAAATATTTAGTCACCCTTTTTAATATTTTCTGCTTTGCTTAGTGTCAATTGTTCTCTGATTACACTCCTGTGAAAGTGCCTTAGGATGTTTTCCTACTTAAAGGTGATTGTTGTGGGTTACTTTGAGTTTTGACAAGTAAGAGAATAATTTATCCCTTAGGCAATACCTGGGAAAATGTGTTAAAGAACCTACACAAATCCAGCACTGATTTTTTTTCAGGTACAATTACAAGTAGTTCAATTTCCCTTCATTCAATTCTCTCCCTTTTAAAACTCCTGTCCTGAAGTTGGCAGCTAATACTGAGAAAAGATTATTTTGGCGCTTTTGATATCTTGTCTGAATGGTTATTCACACCCCAAACTGAACAACGAGTGTCAGCAAGTCAGTCAATTGTAAATGCATAATTGTTGAGCTTTACAACCACACACATGAACTTTCCAGCAGGAGTTACTTGATAACAATTATGTGTATGATATCTAGTTATTATACCACTCAGGTCCTGAGGTATTGACAATTATAGAGGGCTCTTGACAACTGGACAGAAATCGGTGTGGATTGAATGTGAGACCATCTTTATTTCATTGAATCCCAACAATGCAGGAAGAGGCCATTTGGCTCATCAAGTCTGCACCGCCCTCCGAAGAGCAACCCATTCAGACTCAGATCTCTACCGTATCCCGATAACCCCACATTTATCATGGCTAATCCACCTAGCCTACACATCTCTGGACACTATGGGGCAATTTAGCATGGCCAATCCACCTAACATCTTTGCACTGTGGGAAGAAACCAGTGCACCCGGAGGAAACCCATGCAGACACAGGGAGAATGTGTAAACTCTACACAGACAGTCACCCCAGGCTGGAATCAAACCCGGGTCCCTGGCACTGTGAGGCAACACATTCACATTGTCTTCCACACATCCTAAAGGAAGCTTGTTTTAAAGATTAACTTCAGATAATTTGTAGAGTTGATGAAATTAAGAAAATAAAAGTGCAGTTTGGTATCTAAATAGTTGGCCCACTATCAAATTTGGGCCATGTTTGTTGCCAGCATGAAACGACAAGTGGGGTCTAATTTACAGTGCTGTTAGTTTGGAATAATAAGGCCAAATATACTGATTGCAAAGTTGAGCTCCGAAAAGTCTGTAGTTTCATTTCTACAGATACTGCTTTTAGGAGCAAAATAGCATCTGTGCCACTCCTGCAGACTTCTTTTCATTCTGTGACAGTCTGTTATTGCCTCAACATTAGAGCCATTACATCAAACCAGAAGGTGAGTGTTGAGTGACCCACGGCTCTCCGCTTAACGCCTAGTGTATGTCCCTGGTCCACATCTCAAACAAACACATTATGAGACCGTGAAAGTCCCCCTGACCACTGGTATCCACAGCCATGATATCAGCATTCTAAGTCAGCATGACAACAGATTAAGATTTCATAACCTCAGTCTGAGATTCCACCCCAGCACTCAGGCATTGGGTGACAGTAAAAGAAGCATGATGTTAATGATCATTCATTGCATTTTGGTGGGATCTACACGTGTGCTGATTGGGTTGGCCAGCACTTTCATACAGGAAGATATGAGCTCCAAGCTCCACACAAAGTTCCCTGTCAAGTTAGAGCCAGGCGCCTCCATGATCCTTTACAGTGAGAAAAGTAGTCTTGGTTGCAATCCTGCGTCACTTTGTGGCATGAAAAGTTCTTTCAGTTGTTGAGGTTGATAGAGTTGAAATGTTTCACACAACCTTTGATTGATATCCTTATTGATGCTGTGTCAATACATGGAATCTTGTTAAGCTCTGTGTGCATGTGACCGAACTGTATTTAGTCAAGCATATCTCAAAGTAGAATTTGTAGAATAGTAATGTATTTGATTTTGAAAATAACTTTCCTAGAGAGGCCGAGTTCTTCTTTGCATGACCAGAGAGAGAGTGAAAGTGTGCTTGCTCAAGGACCAGCTGAATATGTCCAGGCCATCCGCTCTTGAGCTATTCCAGCTAGATAGCTTCAGATCTAGTTTACTGAATCTGCTTTATTCACAACAACGACAGTTCTGAGGAAGGGTCACCGGACCTAAAACATTAACTCAGATTTTTTCTTCACAAATGCTGCCAGACTTGCTTAGCTTTTCCAGAAACTTCTGTTTTTGATTCTGCTTTATTCACTGGCCAAATAGCCAAAAATGAATGAAAATGTGGAGGCTATCTTCTAACCCTACTCTCACAATATTCACTTGTGGATCTAGAGGAATTTCTTACTTTCTAGTGGGATTTGGAAGGCAGCCATGTGTATTGAAAATAGTCATCTGTGAGCCTGGACTGCATTGCACTTTGAAATTTTACTTGGATCTTCACAAGTAGATGTTGTAGTCTTGAAGGTGCACTTTAGTGCTTTTTAACAGATAATTTCCTATGGTTTGCAGTCGGTACGGACCATGAAATTCTTTTTGAGTTGTGAAGTGTGCAACCTTGAGTATACAGAAGACTAGAGTGTAAGTTGAACTTTCTGTGTTGAAGCAGTTTGGCTGGGCTGTTGTAAAGACTTCAGAGTCAAAGAAGTAGACCTGTCATCTATAATAGACAGGCTTTGAGGTCTCTCTGACACCCTTTCTGGGATCCATCTGGGTGCAATGTGGTAAATTTGAAGGAATTAAAATATTAAAGAACACAATTACTGCATGAAAAAGCATTTTTGGGCAATTGAAATATATGTTGGTGATCTTCATGCTGTATGTATGGTGTACATTAATAGAGCAAATCCCTAAGAGGAGATATCTTGGTTGCAATATTTGGAATATACAAAGATAAAAAGTTAAAGAAAAGAAGGTATCATTGTAAGTTGCGGTGTAGACACCTTCTATTTTGTAAGATCTGGCTTAATACATAGAACATAGAACAGTACAGCACAGTACAGGCCCTTTGGCCCACGATGTTGTGCCGATCTATTAATAATACTATTTGACAAGTATTCTGATTCAAAGAAATTGATTTGGCTCATATCGATTCGACATTTTTTGTGGTTGAAAATTAAGCCTCATGTTCTTATTGCTGCCATGAGCCAATGGAAGGTTTGTGTCATGCGCATGTTTAGTTTTCTCAGGAAGTACAATGTCAAATGTAATACAGAGACAATGTGGTAGATTTTTTATGATACAAACCATATGTTGTTGAATTGTATCCTGGCTGACAGATAATCCAAATGTTATTGAGAAAACAAAATCTACCAAAAGGAGTTCTAAAAGTTGTCAGTTCCTGTCATTCTGGGGTAAGATGTACAGACCAATATCCATTCTTGGCAACAAGCTCGGAGAAATGCTTGGCACACGTGAACTTGGAAATAAGTTATTTTAGGGAAAGAATCTTGTGTGGACCTTTTACTGCAATATTCAGTTGCTTTGAATCTAAACATACATGTAGAAATGCTACCTTTGTTTCCAAACCTAAGCAATGAGTTGCATCAGTGTGATGCTCAACTTTGCAAATAACATTGATTTATATCATGGAATCCAATTCCAGTTTGAGCCTGACCTCAATGTGAGGAGGATTGATGCTAGGTTGGACATCAACTTTCAGGCCTAATATTGCATCACATTTAAAGTTGCCAAGAGAATCAAGTTGTCGTAGTAGGGGTTAGCCAAATCAATGTTGTGGTCAGGAATTGGTAGCGCTGCATTGAGGTGAGGTATCTGTTAACTTATGGATCGTAATTAATTGTAGATCAGTGCAAACTGTTAGACTAATGATTGATGGCCCTACTGTACCAATGATGTAGAATGTTTCATACTGAGGAGTCATTTTAGCATTTCAGACAGATAATAACAATGCAATTGGATGTAAGACTCATTGTAAACAGTTAACCTATTGTCTGTGGACTACATCACATTGTGCCAGTTGCCTGAGGATATCTCATGATTGTGGTGTATCAAATTGACCACATGTACTATATGACTGGGATCTGCAAGTTATCTCTTGGCTAAATAAATCTAGCAATATTTTGAACAGTTTTGTCTAGTATTTTAAGCTGCATTTCATTTGGGGGTTACTTTTCTGAATCTGAGTTCCCTTCAGCTCTTGTTCTTTTTTTTCCAAAATTGGACACTATTATTCCTGATTTTTTAACAAAGAGTGTACTCACAATCATTCCTTCCATTTTTGCTTGCCATACCTTACTGCATTTGTTGCCTGTGGTCTTGGTTGCTAAACGTGACCTTCAGCTGTTAGGATAGTAAGTTTTCACAATTGCTGTTGATGTTTTCTTCTCTTCAGCCTTGGAAATAAGTTATTTTAGGGAAAGAATCTTGTGTGGACCTTTTACTGCAATATTCAGTTGCTTGCTACAAGCTATACAACTTGCTGTCATTAGCTTCCAGTACTCACTTGCTTCCATCATGATGTGATAATGTTAGCCCTTGTAGCATATATCACAGAGATTCAGAAGCTTATTGAGACTGATATCT